GAAGAAAGTGTCTGGTTCTGTTAACAAGTCTTGCTAATGAATTATTATATATGTCTCAGCAAGGATCTTTATCTCTGCAGTTCCACACACATATGCCCAATGGGTTTTTGAATTTCTAGAAGAGTTTTTCATTATCATCGGGATAAGGAAATTATGTCAATAATGAATGTGGAGTTCCTGCCTCCGGAGAACGGTAGTATATAGTGGAGATTAAAAAAAAAAAATCAAGGAGAACGCTTATGTAATAAATTATCAAAGCAATTACAGTTATTGCATCTTCTTTACACTTTTTCTTAAATGTGGTGGTTTTCCATATGCTATATATGGACTATTGCTGCTGGCAGAAAGGTGCTGAATTGTGCTTTAGCAAAACTTTTGTGGATGAGTTCCTCACTAAGTTATGAACTGTCTAGTGCAAGAATGCTAGTGGACAAATTCTTTACAGCAGAATTAAGAGACAACTAACAGCATGTGCAGCATCTCTGATACTTATTTAGAGCTCCAAGATTGGACTTCAAGGTTCCTTCACTGCTTTTTAGCATTTATTTTTGGACACTTATTTCCATTATAGAAATACATATGTCTAAGTTACTGGAGTTGAAATTATGCAGATATGGCTAAAAATAGTTATGAGCTAACCTCTAAAATGGAACTTTTTGATATAGTTTTTTTTGTTTTATAGTGTATTTCTGATATTTCTTAAGCTGTACAACTATACAGTAGTACAAAACTGGCTAAAACTAACATTGCAGCTGTGCATGACCATGAAACACTAGAGAACAGGGAAAGGAAGTAATTTCATTTATAATTTCTATTCTGTTAACAGTAGATTTTTGACATACTATTTAGTGAGCAGTAACTCTTTGGAGGCTCCAGGCATAGACCAGGTGGTATAGAAATGCTGTTTTAAAAAATCAGGCTTTTTGTGTACGTTTTTTCCTCCTCTGAATTCAGTGTCTGTATATTTGCAGTTGGATGTGGAGAACCAGTTACGAAGCTGTTAGCAAATACGTTTGGTGTAGCTAAAAACAGGTACAGTACGAAGTATCAGAACTTCAGTTAGTATCGTGTAGACAGAAATTCACACTGGGGTTCCTGAGATTAACAAATAAGTTTATAGTCATTTATTTCCTTGGACTTCTTCACTGTTCTTTTAAATATAATTTTCCATCTGTTGTTGCAGATTATACCATCTGAAGTCTTTATATTTGGAAACTCCACAGCTGATTAGTGAAGTTTGCTGTACCTTCATAATGTAACTCCTACTTTTAAAAAACTAAAATTGGTGAAATTATTAAAAAAATATCATTTAAATTAAAAGTGTATGCAATTACTCTGTCTTAAAACTGTACATAAATTCAGTTTCTTTCCTGCTTAGGAGAGCTCTAAATAGGACTATCTCAAATTACTTGAGACACCACCTCACTTCATGGGATGCAACTTCCAGTGTGAGGGGCTTTAGTGGAGAAGTAAAATTTTAAGTTGTAACAGAAGCATGCTTTGCACAGAAGGCAGAGCATTTTACTAATTCAATATCAATATGAAATGATCAAAATACAGTACAAAAATGCAAAGATATTCAAATGAGTGAGTCCCTAACACTGTCAGAATAGAATAACATATTTGCTTCTTAATTGCATAGTTCTAATGTTCTGTAGACTCCTTAAAAATATTTCATTAAAAAATTCTTCAGAGGCTTAGAAGCTGAGACACCTGAAAACAGCTATTTAAATTCACTTACTAGTGCTTGGAGACAGAGAGGCTTCCTATAATTTTTTAAATCTGAGTTATCGTAAATTAAGGTCATTTGAGATAGGATTAAACAGACGCAGTGTTACATCGAAATTAAATTCATTGTCAGTGTGTATGCAGTAATAGCTGTTACTTGTCTACAAGTGTGTTCCTCTTATCTATTGCTCTGTTTGGAAACATGGTGAGTTGTGTCATCTCCACTAAAGGACTTGTTGATCGGAAACCTTCAACTGTAGAACTGGAATGTCCATGAATTTTAGCCTCATTGGCCTTTGTTTTCAATTGTTTCTCAGATCTCACAGATTTCATGTTTTGGTATTTATAATTTTGAAGAGGATTTATATTTATAGAATTTAAGCTTTTTATAATTTGTCAATTAATTGTGTGTGGGAGGTTAGTTTGGATTGAGTTTTCTTGTATGGCACTATTTGTCATCTTTTAATCTGCTCTGTTAATTAATGTTAAATAAATCTAACAGTCCACTAAATACAAAATAAACATGGTTTTCTTGGCATTGAACTGCAGCTTTACTATTTATTTTAAGGTGTTCAGAGGTGCTTCTTACCATGGTAGCTGAGAACTTAATGTAAGTTAGTGTAATTATCTTACTACTTTTGAGGTAAGAAATTGATCGCATCTTTCAAATAGAAATCAGAAAAACAGGGATATAAATGCTTATTAGCAGTATAGCACAAATGTTTATTGTTAGTATAGTACTCACATTTTATAAAATTTATCAGTATTATACTGTACCTGGTTTTCAAATGAGAAAATCTAAGTATTTGTGCAAAACGGCTTCTTGAATGCCAGTTCAGTGTTGGTGGTTTCCCACCAAGTCACTCTATTTCTTTTCTCCGCCACCAGTACTCAGCTAACCTGTCAGAAGTCATAAGGTTTCAGTAGTCAGAAAAAATGCAAATAACATCAAGTTCAGTCCACAGTATTACATGCAGACATCATAGATGCATTGCTTATGTTGCAGAATTTACAACCTTTGGTTGCTCTAGTGATATTTCCAGTTAGGTGTCAAGATAAGGGCATGATTGTAATGGTCACGTGCTATTTATAGACATTGCTCATTCAGCAAGCTGAGGTTTGCTTCTCTCAGCCTTTCTTCCTAAACGTTTCAGTTCTACTTCTGTGCTGTTTTCCAGACTTCCTTAAATTAAGTAGGAAGTAGTCACTATTATGATATTAGGGCCCAATATACATTTCAGGGTATTTAATTCCTCACACTCCTCTGTTGTTTGGGTTTTTTTGTTTGTGGGTTTGTTTTTTTTTTTAAAGCCAAGCTGGCAAAACACAGATCAACATAGCACATATATCTGCAAAGATAAGTGTTCTGGAAAGCACACCTTTGGAAAGCCACACTGAAGTCACTGGGAATCTGCAGGAGCTTATAGATCTGTTTCTGGATCCTGATACAAGGTTGAATTCTGAAAGTATGTAGATGTACACATCAGTTAAGGCAGTGCAAGATCCAAAGTGTTTTCTTGCAAAGATGTGAAGTTTGAAAGCACTTGAAATAGTAAACTGTTATGAAAATGAAATTTGGAGAAATAGTTTGGGAAAGCTCTCAAACAGAGAATAGAGAAGTATCTACTGGAAGCGGTTCAAAAGATGCAATGAGTATCTCTTGCAGGCAATCTTCAAATTATTCTGAATTTACTGGGATATTTCAATGAAGAGGGCCTTCTGAAGTGAGCTTGGTGGCCTGGTATGTTTGCAAAAGTGCAGGAGGAGTCACAAAAAGTGAAAGAAAGTTTTTTCTCAGCTTATCTTCAAAGACATTCCTGTAAGAGCTGTTTCTGACTGGTAGGATGCCATCAAAGAAGGGAGGTATTTGCTGTGTTTTTTGTGCTGTGTCTGAAGCTAGTTGAGAGTGCAGTATAGATAATTTCTTGGCCTGAGTCTTCTGCTTACTGATGCTAGCTTGATAGCATGGATTCCTACACAAGAAATAGCAAGTCTTGCAGGCATCTGGGTTCTCCTCTCTGCTGACTTTGAGAACTCCACAAAAACTGACTTTGGGCACTGAAGTGTATGATGAGGCTGTGAAACAGGGCCACAAGACAGTATCTCTTCACTTAAGGCACTTAAAACCAAACTTGGCTGCCTATCACAAAAGCGTCACTGAACTGTCAGAGAGGGAACTGCACGTCTTAACTGTTGCTTCTTCCTCTGATTTCTATTTCTAGTTTAGAAAGTACACAAAAATGACTTAAGTGAGCTAAAAGAGCATAACTTTAGCTAAATGGTCATAGCAAAACAGAATGGATGGCAGTTAAACTTTTGTGAAGAACTTCTGCCTGTTGTTGCAACACATGTTGATGCACTTTAATATTTTCTTGCTTTTTTAGGTATTTACATATTTTCCAGTGAGAAGACCATTTGTGTTCTGTGCGATACTATTATCCTGAGTGTTAATAGGTTTCCAACTATTAAGATGAAATCTTATACCTTAAGTACTTAACTATAAATTTGAAAAATCTTCATGAGCGATCTCAAAGGAATACTTGGAATGCATTAATAGTAAATTGGCTCGTTTTCTTGTAATTTACTAGAAGTTCTAATATGAAAGCAGTTGTAATGTGGAAAGTATATTAATCCATGGAGATGCATTGTATATGTGAAATTACTACTTTAAAACTTTAAGACGTATGAGGTGATTTAGAATCACAGTAGCAAAAGATAAGTATCTTTTGAGGTAATGCATTTGGAATAAATACATCAACCTTAAAAACAAACAGTAATAAATTAAATTAGATGTTGCATAACCATATATCTTTTCTAAAGGATTATTGTGGGTGAAGAGACTGAACAGGAGACCTATAGTAAAGTTTGTTTCTCTTAGTTTATAAAAGCTGTCTAGAAATACTTTCACTTGAGATCTTATCTGAAAAATAAAGCCAGTGGTTCTTGAGAGTGAATCCTGAAGCGCTTAGCTTGATGCCATTCTGTGGAGACACAATCACCCTTTGGCTGTGCTATTTTTAATAAAGGTGACTGGACTTTAAGTAACTTATATGTAGTATATTTCAGAAATGGTTGTAAAATGATTATCTAATTTTCTAATTTATTTTTTAATAGAATGTGTGAAATTAAGAAAATGCAATTAATTTTAACACTGTAATATTAATCAAAATTATTTTTGACACTAGGAGGCTGAATATCCTTGCTCTTTATGGAGACAGGCTGTGTAAGCAATGTCTAAGGCTTTGTAAAACTGCTGCCCAATAGACTGGAACATGGAGACACAGCTGGACCCCATGAAGGATGACTTACCCTTAATGGCCAATACTAACTACATGCTCGTAAAGCACTATGTATTGGATTTGGATGTGGATTTTAAAAGTAAAGTTATTGAAGGCGTCATAGTTTTATTCTTTGAGACTGGGAGGCAGTACAGGAAAACCAACAGTTCTGGCAAAGTCGGCGGCCAATCACAGTTTGATGAAACCTGTAACACGAGGGCATCCGAACCCTGCCACGTTCCTGAGGCAGATGTGAGTGCCTGTTCATCTAAAACAGAATGTAATGATTTTGCTGTCTGTGGTAAAGGTGAAGAAGATACTTCCGATAAAAATGGTAACCATAGCAACGAGGAACAAGCTTCTGGGATTTCTAGTTCAAAGGACTGCTGTGACGTAGAGCATCATGGGAACAAAGATTTTCTGCTGGTATTGGACTGCTGTGATTTATCCGTGTTAAAGGTTGAGGAGGTAGATGTTGCTGCTGTGTCAGGCATTGAAAAATTCACAAGGTCTGCCAAGCTAACTGATGTTTCAAAGGAGCTGGAAAATCTCAGGAACCAGATCGTACATGAACTTGTTACTTTACCTGCAGATCGTTGGAAGGAACAGCTATACTATTTTACTTGCTGCAGCCAGGCACCTGGCTGTGGAGAGCTTCTGTTTACTACTGGCACTTGGAGCTTGGAGATAAGGAAATCAGGAATTCAGACGCCAACAGACTTCCCTCATGCAATAAGAATATGGTACAAAACCAAACCGGAGGGAAGATCTGTTACATGGACTACAGACCAGAGCGGCAGGGATGTAACTGTTAGCTGAAACCTTTGCACACATGAACTTAGAATGTCGAATCATGTAATGCTGAGCAATTGTGAAGATGATGACCATTCTCTTCCCTTGTTTTAATTTCATCCTTGGTTCATATCCTGTTGTCTTGTAGAACAGACAAACTCTCTACTCAAGAAACCCCAGTGAACTTGCAGACCTCAGGCCTGTCTAAGTGATTGCATTTGCTCATTCTGAGTGGGAGTAAGTAATTGTGTATTGGAAAAAGCGTGTGCAGAGAATAGAAAATTATCACTTAGGGGAAGAAAAGGTATGCATGACAGGTTATTCTCACTTTAATGTTTTGTGTTCTTTTTCCTTCCTGGTTTACACAACTGATCATAGAGCATGAAGATCAGCATACATAATAAGTACATACATAATATTTAATAATCAGCATACATAATATTTAATAGAATTGCTTCAGAACTGGTCTTTTATCAATATTGTAACAAGTCTTTTCCTGTTTAGTCTCTCATAATCAGCTTTTAAAATCTCCTTAATCTATTATGTAAATTACATTGATGATAGTAAATGAACCACAAACCAAAACTGCAAGAAGAATTGGCATTTTATGTAGTGCTTGTGAAAGTACACAGTGCTGTACAGAAATCTTCGAGATAAGCTTTTTATAGGATGGAAACTACAAGCCACTCTTGACTTCTACAGCTGTAATTGTTTTACTGTAATGTTCAAAGCTAGATTTTGGTGGCTGTTAGTTCTTTATGATACCTAAAAAAACAGGACCAAAGTTGGAATGTGAGGAAGAAATTTGGTCTAATTGAATACTTGCTTGAATATTTCCTAAACTAGAGATATATGGTTAGTTTTCATTTCAGTTATGCTAATAGAAATTAAGAGTCTTCTCACTGGTGTCCAGTTTAGGGAGGAAAATGAGGCCTTCTAATTAATTGTACATCTGGTAGTTAGGTAATTCTACTGCTAAAACATGAGCAGCATCCTGTCTGGGAATGTCTCAGTCATATTCTTTACCTCCTCTTCCTCCCTTTCTCACTCCCCAAGTAGGTTTAGGAAATTTAATTCAATATAGTATCTTTAGTTATTCAAATTCTGATTTTGACTGCATGCAATGGTAGGACAATTGCCTGTGATCACACAATGTGTTTGTGTCTACTTGTCCTTTACTGAAGTCTTTGAAACTAATGTTATCAACACTCCGCTGGTAAAGGACTAGTCCTCTCTATATTGTCTGTGTGTATGAGCATTTGAAGGTTTCTTTTAAGCATCTAAATCATTAACATCTTTCGGTTTTGACTCTTTTTCCCTTTCACCACAAAGCATTATTCTTACTTTAGAGGCATTTCATGGCAGTTGTGCACAAACACTTGGAATTTTGTGATTCAGTGATGAAGCAGGAAAAGATGTCTTGATGTGGGTGAGACAGTCTGATGGTAGCAACTAGTCTCAAGCTGGTTTATTTTCAGTCTTTTGTAGGGTGTTCCAGAAAATAAGTTTTCATATCACAGCCATTAGAATCTTTCTTACTACGTTTTAAAAATCAAATTCTGTATGTGATGGACCCATACATATAATTGTAAAACTCATTGTACAAAATGCTGTCATATTTTTCCTTCCCTTTCTGAAAATAAAGCCCATTTATAATGTATAGGGGAAGTACTATTAGTTATATATTACTTATATTCTCATAGGGAAATTCTTTAAATTGTTCCAAATTATGCGTATGGTGCTTTTTTAGGCAGCTGTCAAATCCTTTCCTAGAGGAGTCTATAATCTATGGTTCTAACCACGAAGAAAAGTGAAGTGAATAACAAAGTACAAGTATTGTGTAATTTAATACTAGTACAATGTTTTGAAATTTAACCTATGCACTATTTTATAAAAACTCCCCTTTTATTTGTTTTAAACAGTGATGTATTATAATGCACAAAAAAAAATTGTTAAAGCTTTGTGGGATGAGTTTAGGCAAGTTGAGATGTGCTTATGCCCATGCAAGCCTGATGTTAGCACAGCAGGGCACACTTCTGCTTTCAGTAGAGGAACTGAACACGTGGAATTTCAGCATTTCCCTTTCTCGGCTTTTGGCACTAGAAAATTACATTAATGATCAAGAATGAAGCTTTTATTTAGCCTTAGAACATGTTTTTTGTAATAATGTGCTTCTTGGAGCCTTTATGTGGAAAATATGAAAAGACAGCAAAAGAGAGGAATAGAGTATGTATGTGACTGTATGTGGGTATGCACGTGTATGTGCATATATGTATAAACATACACACATTTTTGTCTTTCCAAAAGTTATACTGACAGGGACTATATCAGTTCTTAAAATTGGCAGGTAGCTTTTAACAGTGATCCATAACATAATTATTAAAATAGAAAAAAAAATGTTGATTATAGTGTTTGTAATTTATATATCATGAACAAAGAGCAGTTCTGTTTCAAAGTTTTTTCAGTTGTTTACTAGCACAGCACACAACTGGGCTTTCACACTAAGAAGGCAATGTTGCCATTTTATGAAAATTACGCTTTTGTTTGAGGTATTCTTACTAATATTAAATATTATAAAATTATTTAAAATAAAAACTCACTTTACACACTATAATAACCACTTTGTGGAGGGAGTGATAAAACATCTTTCATTAATGGTAAGGAGAAAGTTTTTGCCAGCCCATCAAGGAGTTTAAGCAGTTTTGCCTGACTCGTAGGAGTATGTATCAGTGTTGAGTCAGCCTGGCTCACAGGCTGACATTAATTTTAAGACATTTGGGTTAAAATTTAAGAGGTAATTTTGTTAGCAGACAGCCTTGGGAATTCACCTTTAATGGGAGATTTCTCCCACATTTTTTCTACCCTACTTACTGTCACTTGTAGTGCTGCCATAAATTAGTTAATGGTTTTGTGAATGGTTTATCATTGAATTGCATGCTTCCTCATTTGTTGTAAATAATCTTGTATTTCTGTAATGTGCAGCTAAAACAGCCGGGTTAGATAGTGATTAGGGGAATATCCAAAGAGGTGGTACCCAACAAAGCAATAAAAGACCTTGGTTTCCTGTTTAAATAATTTGATGCTACTGATTCTGCTGAAACAGCAAAGAACTAGTAGAAAAGTTCTGCTGAACCTGTTGTGATCTGTTTGGGGTCCTGTGTCAAGGATCTATGTCAGGCTGGATCTCACTGGCATGGAGACAATTCCTTATTATTTTTGTCTTCAGATAAAAAAAGAGAGATTTAACCTTTTTTGAAACTGGTTGTTTCAAACCTGCCTCTCCTTAAAGACACGTTTGTTTTGAAATGCAAATCATGTTCGAATATTCATAAATTCAGGTATTCATAAATTTAGGTACTTCTGAAGATAAGCTCTTAAAAAGTCTTACCCTTCTTTGCCACCTTAGTCAATCAGACCGTGTTATGTAGTATGATGCATACAGTAAGGACTAAATAAAAACTGTATGAAAGTATACATAGGAAAATTGAAATTTTTCATTTTTTACTCTTTTAACATTTAGTTCATAGTTGATATTCCTTTTTGAAAGAGACTGAAATTTTCATAAATGTTCTAAACTTGAGATTTTTTATAAATATTCAGGGTAATGGAAACCTGCTACACATATTTCTTGAATATTTAGCTGAAACTTGAAGTTGCAAGTGAATTCTTGAGCAGTGATCTCCAGTTTCCAGGAGGTTACACACAGAAGTCCATGTTTATGAACTTTCTGTATATGGAAATAAATGCTAGAAAAAATGTTTTGTGTAGCTGTTAAGCACCACGTTTCTAGTGTCAGTGATAACAGTGATATTTACTAAAAATCAAGTAGCAGAGTTTAATACGTTTTAGTGTACATTATTTCCTTAAGTTTCAGAACAATTTGCAAGAACTATGAAATTGTTTTGTTTTATCTAGAGACTGCTGGAGAAGCAAAATGTTGCCATTTCACATGTGGATATTGTCTGGGTATTGGCTACAAATAGTTCCCTAATCATACTCACATACCTGGGCATTTTAGGCCATATTTAGAACATGTTTGCAAGTAGGCCTGCAAAAAAAGAGGGTAATTTACTAATTCCCAGGCTGGATCACACAGTTTCTTCTACTCAGTCTGACCAATGATCTGGATGAAGGGATTGAGTGCACCCACAGTAAATTCCCAGAAGACACTAAGCTGGGTGGAAGTGTTGATTTGCTTGATGGTAGGAAGGCTCTACAGAGAGATCTGGACAGGTTGGATCAATGGGCAGCAACCATCTGTATGAAGTTCAACAATGCCAACTGTTGGGTCCTTCACTTGGGTCACAACAATCCCATACAACATACAGGCTTAAGGAAGAGTGGTTGGAACGCTGCCTGGTGGAAAAGGACCTGGGGGTGTTGGTGCACAGCTGGCTGAATATAAGCCAGCAGTGTGTGCAGGTGGCCAAGAAGGTCCACAGCATCCTGGCTTGTATCAGAAACAGTGTGGCCAGCAGGACCCGGGAAGTCATCCTTCCCCTGTACTCAGCTTTGGGGAGGCCACACCTTGAATATTGGGTCCAGTTTTGGGCCCCTCATTACAAGAAGGACACTGAGGCTCTGGAGCGTGTCCAGAGAAGGGCAACAAAGCTGGTGATGGGGCTGGGGAACCAGCCTTATAAGGAGCGGCTGAAGGAACTGGGATTGTTTAGTCTGTAGAAGAGGAGGCTGAGGGGAGACCTTATCACTGTCGACCACTACCTGAAAGGAGGTAGCAGAGAGGTGGGTGTGTGTCTTTTCTCCCAGATAGAACAAGATAGTGATAGAACAAGAGGCAACGGCCTTACATTGGGCCAAGGGAGATACAGGTTGGGTGTCAGGAAAAATTCCTTCACTGAAAGGGTTCTTGGGCACTGGAACGGGCTGCCTAGGGAGGTGGTTGAGTCACCACCTGGAGGTATTTAAAAGACGAATAGATGGGGTGCTCAGAGATGTGTTTTAGTAGTGGATCTCAAAGGTCTTTTCCAACCAAACGATTCTATG